TTAACAATTTCTATACAAAAATTTGTAGATACTCAACACAATAAATTGACAATTTTTCGGTGCTTTTAAGAAATTGATTTTTTTTTCCCTTTAGTTTCCATTTATATAAAATTTCACAATTTCTGCCCAACAATTGTGACACTTTGCAAGTTTGACTATGTATGGCAATTTGCCCCAACTGGAAACTGGATCCCTCATCCTATTTAGTGCTCTTTTTTATTTTTTTTTCCATTCTGCTAAGAAAACAAGAAGGGATGATATTTGTTTTCCCGCATTTTCTTCACTCTATCCTAATAATAATATAATAAGGGCAAATTATCAATAGGTTCTAATAATTATACTTAATTCTTATCAAATTCTATTGAAAATAGGTTCTAGTAAAATTGTCGCTAAAAATAATTTTTTGTGATGATTTTTTACATGTCGCTAAAAATTAACAACTAATAACTTTTTTTGTCATGATTTTTATAAATTGTCGCTAAAACTTACAATTAATGACATTTTTCTGTGACAAATTTTTTAAATTATCTTTGAAAGTTAAAAATTAGTGACTTTTTTTGTGACAAAATTTTTAAACTATCGCTAAAATTTATAATTAGTGACATTTTTTATGGCAATTTCCAAACTATCGCTGAAAATTAACAATTAGTAACGTTTTTTAATAGTGTTTGATGAAAAATGTCATTAATTATCATAAAACCTATGAGATAATAAGTCCATCTAGTAGGACTTACACGTAAGTCCCCCTAATAATAATTAAATAATTTGATGTATATATATATAATTTAATTTGTTAAATAAAATAAAAGTAAAATACCAAAACATTTATATATTTCTCATTTATCACCTCTCTATCTTTCATTTTTAATTTATATAAATTTCATTACTCATTAATCTTTGTACTCATATACTATCATATTTCTTGTTAATAACATTTCCTTCTCAAGTGTTATAAATTGTCCAATACCTCTTTGCTCTACTCCATCCCACCCTGATTTCCCTCACTTTGTGCCTGCCTTGAGCATGAATGATGGATTTGGGGTAGGCACAGCAGGCACTATTGTGTTGCCTTATGGGCTCATTTCAGGATCTCTTTTGATAATCCAAACCATTCACATTTTAGAGTACATCGAGTACAACATATCTATAAAAAATTAAGTTAATCGGATATGATTAACTTTTTCATCCACTCACATTTGTATTCATTTTAATATTTTAAATCACAATGTCATTTATTTTTATAGATAGAAATGTGAGTGAATGAAAGTGTTAACAATATCCGATTAATTTGATTTCTTGCAGGTATATTCTATTCGATGTACTCTAAAATGTAAATGGTTCAAATTATCAAAACGAGCCCCAAAATGAGCCCATAAGGTAGCACTATAGTGCCTCAAGCACCCCAAATCCATGAATGAGACACCATAAGAGTCATATATGTCCCTTTGGAAAAAAAAAGATATATATATATATATTTTATTCAACTGAAAGTTAACAAACATAGAAGTTTAAAAGTAGCATTACAGCAGAATGGAGGGTTAATCCCTCTCAATACTAACTCTAGTCATATTTGCTATGACTAGAGCTCTTACATCCTCTAAGGGATCATCCAATATCACCACATGTTCATCTTGAGCCACGCCCATGTTAGTTAGCTTGTCTGCAACTCTATTTCCTTTTCTTAGGGTATGACCAAGTGAACAGTTGCATATTTTCATTAGGAACTTTGTATCCTCAATAAGGGCTTTGTAAGGAGAGTTCTGGCTTGGGCCACTTTAAATTAGCTTGATGGCCTTTGTAGCATCAGTTTCTATCTCCACATCCATTCTACCTTTTTGGAATAGAATTGTAAGTCCTTTGTAAATGGCCCATAGTTTTACTTCCACACTTGCACAATGCCCCAACTTGCCGTAGTATCCCCATATCCATGTACCAGCTCCATCTCTCAGGATTCCTTCATATCTTGCCTGACCAGGATCACCTTTTGAGCAGCCATTAGTTTTTAACTTGAGTTATTACCTGCAGCATGGAAACACCTTTTAAGTAGTATAGGTAAAGATAAGTTAAGGTGAAGAAGAGATTGGGATGCCTCATCAATTTCATGAGCATAATTCCTAATGTTCTTGAGACTAGCTTAAATGGGGTGGTTAATATTTTCAAAGACCATTAGATTTTGATCGTTCCAAATCTGTCAAAGGGTGACAACAAAGAAAAGGTACCATTTTCTCCTCAGAAACATGTTTTTGTTTTTCATATTAGAACTCACCCATTCAGCTAGAAGCATCTTGTAACCTTCCTCCTACCAATTAGAATTCATGATATCAATACAGATATCCCTGGATTTGGTGCATTCTCTAAGGAGAAGGCTCATATTTTCACTAAAAAGACCACACCTAGGATAGAGGTTAGTGGTTTCCATGTTTCTCCTCATCCTCATTTGGTTGGTTAGCAATCTTTCTTTCAAAATAAGCCAGAGACAATATTTCTGCTTTTGGGGAGTTTTGACGTTCTAAATCCATTTCCAATCCCTCCCATCTAGGTCATGATTTGTAATGATTTTGTAAGGATAGGCTATGATGAAATTACCCCCAAAGGATCTTATCCAAGAGGGAGCAGCAGTGTAGGTCATAAAACTGGGTCTATGCACCTTAAGAATCTCTTTAAAGTCTTGCTGACTAACAATGTGTGCTATAAGTTCAGTATTTTAGTTCCTTTCTTCATCTAGGAATAAACTAATCTTATCTACATCATTAACCTATGGTGTGTTATAACTCTGGTCTAGAGGTTTTTGCCCACACCACCAATCATGTCATAAGGATGTGGAATCTCCATTCCCCACATTCCATTTGACACCCTTTATAAGAGTGTCCTTATTCTTGCAAATGCTTCTCCAAATGTGAGATGCTCTAGCTCATAGGCAACTATAAAGATTTCTATTCCTCAAATACTTGGCTTAGAGCACTTTACACCAAAGTTTATTTTTATTACTCAACATTTTCCAACCAAGTTTGGTAAGGAGTGTAGCATTATGATCCCCGATTCTTCTAATGCCAAGTCCTCTATTCTTCTTAGCTCTATACACATTATCTCAATTAATTAACACATAATTTTCTAGGGAGCTCCATGACTTGCATGTTGTAGCTAGAAATTACAGAGGTAACAGTCTGAATAGGGGTGACTCTACCAGCTAAGGATAAGTTCCTAGCCTTCCATCTAGAAAGTCTAGTTTTTAATTTCTCAAGGATCTCATTAAACATGCCCTTTTACGGAGGAGTGGGGATCCCAAGTATTTACCAAGATTATGGATAATGGGTATGCCACTTTGGGAACTTAAAGCTCTAGCTTGTCTACATGAGATGTTTTTGGAGACAAAAAGTTTAGATTTCTAGTAGTTAATCTTCTAACCAGACACCTTACAAAACTCATTAAGGACCTCCGTGATGGTTTCACAGTTGGTTTTGTCAGCTTTGGCAGACAGAATGAGGTCATCAGCAAAAAAAATAGATGGGATAAAGTTGGGTTGTTATTAAAGCTTTTATGCCTTTCCAAGACACTTCTTTCACTTTGGAGATGATCATGTTAGATAATCTCTCTATACACAAAACAAAAAGATAAGAGGAGAGAGGATCCCCTATCTCAGTCCCCTCTCATTATGAATTCCCTTAATGATTTCTCCATGCCAAAAGATAAAATATTGATTGTTTGTAACACAATTAATGATCAAATGAACCCAACTATCATTGAGATTAAATTAATGTAAGGTATCTTTGATAAACTCCCAGGATAACCTATTATAAGCCTTTTCAAGATCAATTTTGAAGATCATACCACCTCCTTTGCCTTTTTTGTATCTTAGAGTATGAAGAATTTCTTGAGTAATAATGGTATTATCAGTGGTGTTTCTCACATGAATGAAATTATTTTGGTTTGGGCTAATAAGTGTATCCAATAAAGGTCTAATTCTTCTCATAATAAGCTTAGCTATGATCTTATATGTTACATTACAAAGGCTTATGGGTCGAAACTGTTTGATATTATCAGGATTCTCAATTTTTGGGACCAAGACAATAAGGGTTTCATTAACTTTACTAGGCACTCTTTTGGTTTGGAAGCATGATTTCACAAAGTCACATACCGATTGGCCCACAATATTCCAGTATTTCTAATATAATAAAGCTTGAATTTCATCCTTTCCTGGTGCTTTAAAGGCACCAATATTTTTAGTAACTCTCAAAATTTCAGAGTTGGATATAGACTTTAACATTTCATCATTATCTTCTTGAGTAAAGTAAGTTATGGAAATGTTCTTCTAATGTTGCAACTACTGAATATCTTTCTTTTTGAAAATGTTATTGAAGTAGTCAAGAATACTTCTCTTGATTTCATCTTTATCAGTAATCCAATTTCTATCATTATCTTTAATAGCATTAATTTTAAGTTTCCTCCTCTTAGTGACAGTAAAAATGTCAAAATACCTAGTGTTCCTATCACCAAGAGCAATTTCTAGATCTGGATTTTTGAAACCACAACATTTCTTCTTGAAAAATGACCTCATTATACTATTTAATGAGATCTTTCTCTAAGGTGAGCAAATTATGAGTACAACTAGCAGTTAAAGCTCTTTGAATGCCTTCAATTCTAGCTAGTAAATGCCTTTTCTTTTTAAAAATGTTTCCAAAAACTTCTTTATTCCACTTCTTGACTCTAATAGTGAATTCAATAGTGAAATCTAGAAGTTTATGGTTCATATCATCCCAAGAGGTGTTAATAACATCAAGAAGGCCAGAATGAGCCATCCAAGCAGCCTCAAATCGAAATGGTCTATTAAGTGGATTAAGTTAGTGCATACCTTGAGTATAAACAACAAGTTAGGAGTGGTCTAAATAGGTTCTAGGTAGCACTCTCACTGTTGCTTCAAAGAACATGGTTCTCCGATCTTCATTGTACATTGCTCTATCCAATCTTTCCATAGTGTTAGCAAGTCCTTGTCTATTGTTTGTCTAGGTCATTCTAGGTCCTAAGCTTCCTAAATCTATCAGATTGCAGTTATTAATTCTTTCAAGGAATTTCTGGGACTTAGTTGAACTTTGGTTAATTGAGAAGCTTCTTCTCTCACTCTGGCTGGTATAGTCATTGAAGTCCCCTGCCACCAGCCACGATTTCTCCATGTTGTTCGCCACCTCTTCTAGTTCATTCCATAGCTCCTCTTTTAAAGTAGGATTTTGGCTAGCATAGACCGCAACTAGAACCCATTCCTCATAGTCTTTCTTGTGGACAGTTGTATGAATGTCTTGGGAACCAACAGAAGAGGCTTTCACATTAACATGATTAGTGTACCAGACTATCCAAAACCCGCTAACTCTACTAACAGGGTCAACAATAGTAGATGCCGTAAAACCCAAACGGTTAAAGAAATTTCCCATTCTACTGAAGGCCACTTTGGTCTCCATAAGGATCAAGATTTCAGGTTTATGAGAACGAATGATCTCTACAAGGTTACGCTTGAAGATTTTATTGCCAGCACCACGGCAATTCCAAAAGAGTAGTTTGAGCAAATCCATAGATGGGAAGACAGTGGGTCAGTCGCTAACTCTTTAACAATGCTACGTATCCTCCGATTTTCGTCCTCCACTGATCTCATAGAGGCCATCCGAATCGAATGGAATAGACTCTCTGGGTTGTTCTTCCAGCTTGGCTTTATTATCAAATAGATTTTCTATATCTACTAGGTGAAAGTAATGAGTTGAAGTGCTTCGTTCCTTGGTTCTAACAACAAACTAAATGCATCGATTTGCTTCAGGTGCTCTTGTGCTTCTATGTTTTGCCTCTTTGGATTCATTTGTTCTTGCCTTTCCATCTGTCAAGTTACTAAGGTTAAGAAGTACTGATTCTATTCTCCACTGGCCTTGAGGGTTGGTAGTTGTGACGCCCTAAAAATAGGGAACATCAGATAATATATTAACAATTAAATACAAGGTTTATCGAAGGTTACAAGAGTAGGGAACTGTGACAACCCTCACCACTGATTAGTGCTAATCTATGATTAAGCATGTTAAATGACTGATTGACTGAAATTCTGAATTGATTGATTGAGTGTATTAGTTTGAATGCATGTCTATCTATTTGACTGCTAGATTATCTGTTCATGTATTATGTTTAAACTGCAAATTGAAGGCCTTATCGGCGGCCGAATCCAAAATTGATTAATGTTTTATGCTAATTGGAATTTATGTGATTTTATAGTAAATTTAGTTAAAATTTGATTTGGTATGATTAAATTGGATTAAATAGTGTTAAATTACATTAATTGGCTTATTTACCCTTTTGCCATTAGTGGGCCACTACCTACAACATTGTCTTGGAGCCTTTGTTGCATCATTCTTGTTCATTCTTGGAGGCAAAACTGACTAGAGAGAGAGGAGGTTAGGAGAGAATTGTTTCATCTAGAAAATTGGCTTGAGACTTAGAATATTGAATGATTCATTGCATATTGAGCTTCCATTCTTGAAATTGAGGACCCAAGGTAGAGAATTCACCTTCTCCATTGTGAATTTGAGTTACTTCTTGCATGGTTCATGGAAGTTTAGAGTTTAAAGTCTAGAATTGGTTCACAATGTTGAATTGAGAGCTAGATCATGCATGCATGCATGCTCTTATATTGAGGTTTTGAAGTTGTTTCATGAGAATTTCTACTTGCATGTTCATAATTTGGGTCTTGATCCATGAACTCACCATGTTTTGAAGTTAAATCTTGCATTTGATCTTGTTTTAGAACATTGGAGTTCCAAGGAACCCATGTATGTGTTGAATTTGCATTGTTCTTCATGTTCTTGAAGTTTATTTGAAAATTGTGTTCAATTGAACTACCTTTGGGCTTTGATTTTACAAATTGATCTTTGAAACATGTTATACTATGAGTTTACAAGTGTTTTCCAGAAAATTAGCCCAAAAGGATCGAATTTGATGCTTTAAAGTTGAGTTTTGAGCTTGAGGTTCAAATCTGAAAATTCCAGATTTTGGACTCACGCTCGAGCGGGAAACTCTACGCTCGAGCATACACACTGAGTTCATGCAGTCCGCTCGAGCGGGGAAAGTGACGCTCGAGTGGGAAATGCGTGTATCCAGTACTTTGCATGTGTTTACAATCCGCTCGAGCGGGGGAATGCACGCTCGAGCGAGGACTTGTGTCTCACGCTCGAGCGGAGGTCGAGCACCCATCGAACGTGAATTTCACCCATCCAGCACTTTTGCAGTCCGCTCGAGCGAGGAAGTCATGCTCGAGCAGGGCTCTTTTGTCTGCATGTCCGCTCGAGCGGGGAAACCCACGCTCGAGCGGGACCCCTGTTTCAGTAAAAATTTGAAAAGTGTTTTTAAAGTGCATATTTGCATCCTCATTCCATCCTAGGCATTCCTAGGCCTAGTTTAAGGCATCTTAATAAGGATATTGATGTAGAGCCACACCGAGGCAAATTAGAGATTAAATTATTATTTCCCAATTGTGTAGCTTAGTGTGTGTTCGTTCTGTAACTGTGTAGGGTTGGCACCCAAGGACGCTCTAGCCTATCTGTAGCCCAGAACTTTGTGAGTAACAATGTTGTAAAGATACGTTCAATTGAGATTACTTTCTGAACGAACGACTGAACTGCTTTATGAAATAACACTGTTTATTGAATGAATGCTTGTTCTATTTGCGAACTGTATTCGTGGCATCCATAGCAATTTACTGTTACTGTACTGTACTACTACTGTCATAGAGATCTCTGTCGGTTCCCATGTTTGGAACCACTACTGTTTATTGATATAATGGCCATCAACTGATTGTTCACTTTGTTAAGACCTACTATACTGTTTGCTATTGGATGTACCACATATGACTGCTATGATCGAATAACTGATATGCTGTTCAAATGACTGTTTTCAATATTGAAAGGATATTTATTCTTAACCTCTTTACGCATATGTTATTCACTGGGCTTTAACTCACTGCTCATAAATATATGTAGGTGTACAGGCACCGGACCGTTGCTAGGAGCGTCAGGCTAAGCTCCCGTTTTGTCTAGCCAACCATTGTGCCTCCCTGAGAGGTTCCAAGTCCTTCAAGCTAGGACTTTTTGGGGTGTTTTAGATTTTCCCCGTTTTGTATCTGTTTTTGTATTACTGTATAAACTGTACCTGTACTGTACTGCTATGGTGGGGATTTGGTCCCTAACCTGAATGCCTGTAAATGATGTATGTATATACTGTTTTTGTTCTGAATGAGATCATGTTATGAAAAGTCTTTTTGCATACAGACTGTCATATCTCATTGGACATCTTTTAATTACTGTTTGGGCTTCCGCCAGCCCCTGTACTCTGTATTACTGTTATTACTATTAAGCAGGCCTTCGGTAATCACGGATTACTAGCCGGTTACGGTGCTAAACCTATAGGGGCGGGTTTGGGTCGTGACAGGTCATTTGGATAATAACCAAGCAAGATCCCAAAAAGGTCGGAGGAGTCAAAATAGCCTCCCTTCTAAGTCTAACCACCTTAGATAGCAAAGCTACTTTTTTGACAGATCTTGACAAGGTATTAACACAAGGCCTACATGAGTTAACGAAGTATAAGGATAGGTTACAAATATTATATATAAAAATTACAAAATCATGTCTTAAAATACAACAAGTGATTAATCACTTAAACTCTCATAATCGTGTTTACAAAACTAGTTCTTAACTCTCATAGGATAGCCATACGTCTTCAAATACTTCATATTTGTCTTTGACCGGTCTAATAATCTTCAATACCTGGCATGAAACATCGTGAGCTTTGAATACCCAATAAACACACACACACCTCGCCCATTTTACCCAATTCAATACACCAACGTATTTATAACAAGCAAGTAGTGAAGCATGATATTCAAGTCAATAACAACAATTTCAATAATAGAGGAAAAGAACATGACATTCAAATAGATAACAAAGGCTACAATGTTAGTGGTTAGTTGTAACAACCCCGACCCATGATTAACGTTAATCTATGCTTAATTATGTCTAATAAGTATGTAAAGTGAAATTTTACATTATATGTAGCCTTATTTGTATTTATATCTGTTTAACGTAGAAAGATCTGTTCATGTTTCTATTTCGTTCTACAAATTGAAGGCCTTATCGGCATCCGACTATGAAATTAACTTGATTTATGTGTTCGTTGGAATTTTTAGGAATTTATGGTAAGTTCGATTGAAATTTGATTTGGAACAATTAAATTCGAATAATTTAATGCTCATTAGATTAGTAGCAAGTTAATTGATTAATTTTTGACCAAGCCTATATAAGGCCATTTCTACCCCTTCCTATACACTTTTACACTCTATTTCCCTCATCTTTTGAGTTCAAATGTGAGAGAGAGAGAGAGAGAGAGAGAGAGAGAGAGAGAGAGAGAGAGAGAAGGAAGACTTGATTTCAACTAGGGTATTGAGGAAATTAGAAGAACTTGGAAGTTTGGCTTAGAAACTCAAACAATTAGCTATCTAGCATTCAATTGAGAAACCAAAGTAAGAACTCAACCATTTAATTATGTAATTGAACTAGCTATTGTTATTTCATGTGAATTGGGAGATAAATTACAAGAATTGAGTTAGAATTAAAAATAAATGAACCATATCATGCATGCAGGCTCATTTCATCATAATTTGAAGTTGTTTTCAAAGAATTCCCTCTTGCATGTCCTCATTTAGACCTTGGTTTAAGAATTCAACATATTGTTAAGTTAGACACCTCATTGGATCATGTTTTGGAAGCTTGGAACTTATACCTTTACATGCATAATGTATATGGTTATGTTTTCAAAGAATTGGGTTTGGTTTTGCATGCATCACATGCTCTTGAACCATGATTTTGTGGAATTGATTTTGAATTGTACCAAGTTTACAAGAGTTTCTTCAGGTTTTTAGCCCAAGAAATCATAATTTGCAGCTTTGGGGTTGAATTTGAAGCTTGGAAGCAAATTTGGAAATTCTAGAATTTTGCTTCCACGCTCGAGCGACCACCTTCATTTTCACACTTCTGCTCGAATAACCAAAAGTTTGCACGTTTTGCAGACCACTCGAGTGACAAAAGTTGCACTCGAGCGAGGGTATGAGTCTCATGCTCAAGCGAGCGTCGAGCGAGCATCGATCGGAAAAATCAAGCAATCAGCACTTTTGCAAAAGTTTACAGATCGCTCGAGTGACAGAAATTGCGTTCGAGTGACCACTCACATTTTCCATGTCCGTTCGAGCGAAGGAAGTTGCGTTCAAGCGAGGACCCTATTTTCAACAAGTTTTGTTAAGTGTTTTCAAGTGCATTTTAACATTCTCATTGCATCCTAGGCATTCCTAGGCCAAGATTAAGATACAATAATGGGGATGAGAAGTAGAAACATACCAAAACAAGAAAAAACCAAGTTAATGATTTCGGGTGTGTGATTTAGTATGTATTCATTCTGTATCTATATAGGTCACGCGCCACAAGATATCTGAATTGCCTACTCTGCCCGTTTACTTGGAGCCATTCGTTATCTGTGAGTAATAACTTAG